TGTTTCCTGCTTTCTCCTCTAGGGTGTTGATAGTTTCCTGTCTCACGTTCAGGTCCTTTATCCATTTTGAGTTTATTTTTGTGCATGGTGTGAGAAAATGATCTAGTTTCATTCTTCTGCATGTTGCTGTCCAGTTCTCCCAACACCATTTGTTAAAAAGGCTGTCTTTTTTCCATTGGATATTCTTTCCTGCTTTGTCAAAGATCAGTTGGCTGTATACTTTTGCCACTTGCCCTACTTTTAACCTTCCCTCCTGTCAGACATTTGGGATTCATGATCTGGGCCAGCATCTCCCTAGTTTCAAGCTCTTAAGATACAAGTGGTGGGTCTGGCACATTCACAGGAACAGCATCTCCAGAATTTCCCCGCAAGTCAGGGCTACCCAAGGAATCCTTTTCTTGGTAAGCACCTTTGTATCATTTTATATTCTCTCTTTCACATTTTCATGTCATTTGGCTCTTTCTGAAAATCCCAGTTGGTGGGTGCTGAACACATCTGCCCTAGTCACTCCATGTTTTTTAACAATCAGCCCTTTTGTTCTCTGGAGTCCTGACCTTATTGTGTCCAGGGTCGTCTCTGCATGCTGCAGAAGGAATACACAACTCTCTAAAATGACAAGATACCTATAAACTATTGTAAACTGTTAAACAATGTCTAGTCATTTTTTCATTCACTCCTTGCAGAGATTTAAGCACTGGAGGGGGCAGTCACATAATACAGAGGATGTAAAAAGCACATCCAGCCAGCACCACCTTCAGAACTTCCACAAGAAACAGAAGAGGAGCTATTAACTTCCATATTTCCTATTCAAAGTTATTAAGAGTGTGTATGATGCTACTGAAAATGTGAAAAACTAGTTTTACAATTTGATTGTATTATTCACATAAAGAACAGACGTCCTTATCACGTCTCTGGAAATATTTCAAAACCAGTATTTCATCAGTACTAGGAAAAGTTCAATCTCTCTGAAAAAGTACACCTTTCACCTTTTAGAAGCTCCGTTATCTGCACTTGACATTCAAAACAGAACTGAAAAACAGAGAAGGAAAGGATCAGTTAAAATACCTAATATTCAGGGCACCCGAGTGGCTCAGCTGGCTAAGCCTCAAACTCTTGGTTGTGGCTCAGGTCATGATCTCAAGTTTTGTGAGATCCAGCCCTGCGATGGGGGGTGGGTGAGGGGAGGAAGGGGACAGAGGACTCTGCTCAGAGCCTGCTTGCGTTTCTAGATCTAGCTACTCTGGCCCTCCCCGCTTGCACTTCCTCCTGTGCTCTCTTTCAGAATAAATACATTTTTAAAAATCTGATTTTCAAGCAAGGAATAGTCTTCCAAATAACGGAGAACAAATTATTAAATTTATTATTAAATATTAAATTATTAAAAATTGAATTTGCAATAATTAGCAATAGGGCTTAAGCAAATACAGGTGCCATCTGGTAGGTCTCGAAGACATTAGGATTTATAATCCTGAGAGGATTATAGGAGGTGTGGATTCGAATATTAAATTTAAAGACCGAGACATTAACGAACACACACAGACGCAGAAATGTTTGTTCCTCTAAAGCAACATGCCAGCCTTCAGCCCCCACAGCACAGGGCCGGGTGGGGAAGGCAGGGAACACAGTCCAGCCAATTAGAAGGGCCAAATCAGTGGGAAGCTTTGATGGGGGTAAATACCAAACTGCACGAAGGTTCCCCACAGAAGAGTTTTGCATTTCGCATTCTAGCGTCCATCACCGACACTGACCACCCGGATTTTGCTTCATTAAAGAAGGAGCTGTCCTGTCCGGGTCTCAGTTGCCCCACGAGGACCCCCAGCCCCAGGTCCCCTCGCTGCTCCGCCTCCTTCGCTGGAGCGCGTCTCCACCGCCCGCTACAAAAGTTTTCCCGGGAACCGGGCTCAACTTGTGAAACACCACCGCTCCTAACAGAAGCGGCCCGCCCCTCCCTAACGTTGTTCCCAGCCTGGCTCCAAACCACACCGGCGGGACTGGGAGGAATTAAAATCAGAGCCTGAAACCGCCAGGAAGGAAGGAAGGACAAACAAACGGGCCGACTTCAGGAAATTAACGGCGCACCGGGCAGGTCTCTGCGCTCCCAGGCTCCGCCCCCACTCGTCGCGTCCTTCACCTGCCTACGCGCCGCCTCGCCACCCACGCGCATGCGCGATTTTCTGCACACCCGGAAGCTGACTCCGCAGAGAAACGTGCGTTTCCCGGTGAGAGAGTCTCCGTTTTTCTCGTTCACAGCAGTGGTCGCGCTCTTCAGTGTCTCCCTCTACCCCAGGTTTTGGGGTCGCCTGGTAAGATAAAATTATTGAACAGTCTCCTCCGTATATCCTCTTGCGGCGTGACTATAAGACGTTCCGAGTCACTTGCTTGGGGCAGGTCCCAGGGTCTGTCTTCGTTTCCGGGTTAAATCGTTCTGAGGCAGTGTCCGGCCAAGCCTTTCTGCCTTTGGCCCGTGAAGACCCCGACATCCCTGCCAGTCACTTTCCTGCTCAGAACCTTTTTCTGACTCCGGATCTCCGCCATGCCCCCAACTCCCAGCTGTGTCGGGCACAGTCGTCACTAGGGAAGTGGATGCAGGCCCCTTGTCCCGCTACAGGGAGGGCAAAGAGGGGACACACGGCGGGGAAAGAGGCAAATCCCCGGAGTTAGAGGGTCATCAGAAAGTGTGGGGAGAAAGGACGGCGGGGATTGAAACAGAGGCTGCACCAGAGCGGGGTCACACGGTTGGAGGAGGAATAGCGAAGGAGGGAAACGGAAATGGTCAAAAGGACTGCAGAGAAACAAGGACACAGAGAGACTTATACAGAGAACAAAACACGTAGTGGGCTGGGTCGAAGCACAGGACCCAAACCCAGGTGAGCACTGAATTGATTGGATATGGGATATTACGTTGTGAAGTACTGATTTGTGGCCCTGTGACCTCGTTCATCAAAAACTTGGTAAATTTTTTCAGTTACGCAGAAGAGAACGAGAGTTGTGAAACCTGATGTTTGAGGCATCTGCACTTTCTACGTGCTGCATCAGAAGATGAGTCCATTTGCAACCCCCACTCATCTAGAGAGCAGAGGCTATCAGTTATTGGGGAAGCCTTTCTGTAACCACAAGGTGCCTTTTGCAGCGGCCATTATTAACAGTACTGTTTGTCTCTCAACCCCCCCTCTTTTTTTATGGCTCATGGCATTCTTTTATAAATTTGATGTGTATCCTCACACTTGTTTTGGCTTTAATCTTAGAATCCATTGGATATCTTTTTAATTTCCAAATTATTTTCCCTCTTAATTTTATTGTTCAGTATTCTTTGATGTCTGGTAAAGAACAGGATAGCTTTTCATTAAATATCCATTAAGGATGTTGATTATCCTTTAACACTAGTTAGCATGCTAATTTAATATTCAACAGTTCTCTTCCCTTAAATTATGTTTTAAATTACCGAGTGCTGAGCCAAAATCTCCAGAGAAGTAGTTGATCCCCTCAAGCCCCCTTTGTCTTTTCTGTACAGATGTTGAACGATGAGCTGGATTGATGTGGAACTTTGTTCCAGCAGAGCGCATCTGTTCATGGTGCAGAGATTGCTCAGAGCTCATCCCCAAAGGTGACCCTTTTTCATGTTTTCCAGGACTAGTAACTATTTGTAATGTCATAACAGTTTTTCTGGAAAAGAGGAATTAAGTGCTTGAGTTTGAGTAAGCCTATAAAAGAGAAGCTTATCTTGTTTATGAATATTAAAGGTAATCTGGAATTAGGAAAAGCCCTTTCTACTTAACACTGTCCAGGCCACCGTTTCAGAATTTACTTACACCCAGTTCTGCTCACTCAATTCAGACTTCTTTTTTTTTTTTTTTTCTTTTATTCCACAAACAAGTTGGATTTACTGGGAATAAATGAATGGTTTAACATTTAAAAGGCAGTAATGTAATCAGTCCATCACATTAACAGGAAAGAAGACTATATGATCATCACAATAGAGGCAGAGAAAAATCTTAAGAAAATTCAACACTTATTCATGTGAAAAAATCTTGGAAAACTAGGAATTGAAGGAAAATTTCTTAATCAGATTAAGGGTTTTTAAAACATTCCCAGCAAAAGACATGTTAATTGTGAAATATTGGAAACTTTCCCTCTGAGATCAGAAATGAGACCTGGTTGTATTACCATTTCTAATCACACTTGTACTGGATATCTTAGAAGATAAATTAAGAAAGAAAAATGGATCAGGGCGCCTAGGTGGCTCAGTCAGTTAATTGTCAGACAGTTTTGGCTCAGGTCATGATCTCATGATTTCGTGAGTTGGAGCCCCACGTCAGGCTTTGTGCGGACAGTGCAGAACCTGCTTAGGATTCTCTCTCTGCCCCTCTCTTGCTTGGGCCATCTCTGTCTCTCTCAAAATAAATATATAAACTTTAAAAAGGTTAAGAAAGAGAACTGGATCTTACAAAGATTGGAAAAGGAAGAAATAAATGTTTCATTATTTACAGATGACATGGCTGTGTTTTGGAAATTCTAAAAGTATTTACCAAAAAAAAATTACTAGAATAAATAAATAAGTTTAGCAAGTTTGCCTGATATAAGGTACTGTATGTATTGGTTAGGGTTCTCCAGTAAAACAGAACGAATAGGATATATTTAGGAAAAGATGTATTGTGAGGAATTGGCTTACACAATTAGGGACATTGTGAAGTTCCATAACCTGCCATCTGCAGGCTGCAGACCCAGGAAAGCCGGTGGTATAATTCAGTCAGTCTGAAGGCCTGAGAATGAGGATCCAGGCCAGCAGGAAAAGATTGATATCCCGGCTCAAGAAGTCAGGTAGGAAGGGCTCAATTCTTCCTTTGCCTTTTGGTTTTATTCAGGCCCTACACAGATTGGGTGATGCCAGTCCACACTGTGGAGAGCAAACCACTTTTTTGGTCTACCTATTCGAATGCTTATTTCATCCAGAAACACCCTCACAGATACACCCAGAAATAATGTTTAGTGAAATATCTAAGCACCCTTTGATCCAGTCAGCTTGACCCATAATCATCATAGTACACAAAAATGGTTTGTATTTCTGTACATTAGTGATGTGCAGAAAATAAAATGAAAAATAATACCATTGGCATTATGTTAAAAAAATTATCAAGTATTGGGGATTAAAATTAACAAAAGATTGCAATGCTTGTAGAAAGAAAACTACAAAAACATTGAGAGAAATTAACAGAGACCTAAAAAAGAGAATTGTACACTGACCATGGATTAGAGGACTATATTTTAAAAATGTTTATTTCCCATAACTTGATCTCTGATACAAAGTAATAATCCCATTAGGCTTTTTAAAGTGGAAATTGACAAAGAGATTCTAAATTTTACATAGAATTGCAAATGGCAATAATAGCATTAAAATCTTGTAGAAAAAGTTTGATGACTTACAGAAATCAAATTACTTTACAAAGCTGTAACACTTTAACCAATGTATGATTGTTGCAAATACAGAAAAATTGAACAATGTAGAGTCTGAAAAATAGACCTACATGTATACTGTCATTTAATTTATGATAAAAAAACAATCCATTATAATGCAGCAGGGAAGAAAATGGTCCTTTTGGTAAGTGGCTCTGGATCACCTGGGTTACCCAGTAAATCCAAATGATCCTTTGCATCTATTTCAAACTATATGCAAAATTTAATTCCAGTGGATCATAGATTCAAAGTAGAAGGTGAAACAAATGAAAGCTATTGAAGATAATATAGGATAATGTCTTAATGACCTTGATATAGTCAAGTATTCCTTAAAAAGAACACAAAAAGCACTAATCCTAAACAAAAAAATTTATTCCACTTTATTAAAATTAAGACATTATTAAGAGAGAGGCAAGTCACAGAATGGGAGAAAATATTTTCAATATCTGTATCTGAGAAAGGGCATAGATTCAGAATTGATAAAGAACTACAAATCAATAAGGATAAAGGCAACCCAATTTTTTTTTTCATTTTAAACAAGGAGTTTATTTAAACAAGACCGAAAGGTAAGCTATCTAGGATTCATTTTTTATCCCTACTTATTTTTTTTAATGTTTAGTTTTGAGAGAATGTGAGAGTGAGTGGGGGAGGGGCAGAGAAAGGGAGACAGAATCTGAAGCAGACTCCAGGCTCTGAGCTATCAGCACAGAAGCTTGAAACAGGGCTTGAACCCACAAACCGGGAGATCATGACCTGAGCTGAAGTCAGACACTTAGCTGACTGAGCCACCCAGGTGGCCCCGTTTTATTTTTTTTTTTAATCTATACTTAAAAGACAGATTGCCCTGTATGTAACAGATACATACAAAGAGTTACAAACTTAGTTTTTCAATGATAAATGAAGAACATTTAAATTCTTCAGTCTAACAAGTTATGCAGGGGTTTTTATGTTGCTCTTTTTTTTTTTTTTTTGGTTAAACTGTGATTATAAACTAGATTATAAAGAGCTAAATGAGCATGCACTAATGGAAAAAGGGGGCATTTTCACAGAAACGAGGTACTTGCCCTATCTCATCTCCATTTGATGTCAATCAAAACATATTATTGGCCATTTGGTTAAAAAAATGCAATATGTTTGTGCACATACACTGTTACTTTTATGCCCAGTAAATGAACAGGGAAGGGGAAAATGAAATACTGGAGAAAACTATACTGTAGTAGGATGTGGTAGAACCAAGTTGCAATTTTCTAACTGAGAATGTCTTCTTGGTCTGGAAGGTCTGGAAGAATTCGTGGGTAAAGTAGCAAGTTCCGTTTTTAGTAGACACCACCTGTGTGCTGCTGGAACACCTCAGTTGGATCCTCCTCCATTTCGGACTGTGCAGTTGTGTCTATTTCATTCACTGGCTGCCCATCCAATAGGAACCTGATCTGCCTCATTGACAGACCGGGTCATTCACAATAGGCTTTCATTAGTTTACTAAGTGGTGTATGCCTCTTAACGTTAAACTGCACCACAGAATCATCCTGCCCTGCCACCTTCAAATTAATAAGGTCATTGCTCTTAGTCTTGATGACTTCCTTGGGCGTTTCGTCAGCCATGGCGAGCACTGGAGTCTCCTCAGCTGCCGCTTCACAAAAGGGGTACTAGGTGCACACCTAATGAGCACACAGGTAGCACCGGGAGTGGCAGAAGTAAGAGGCAACGAAATTATTTTTACTGGCAAATCTGGAACAGCAGAGTGAGTTGGAAGTTTATTCCACCTGGGGGAATTATACTCCATTCTAACCCTCTTCAACCTTTCTTCCTTTTTAACCTGTCATTCAACCTCTGTGGAGGATGTATTGCCCAGCTGGTATTGAGCCTTAGGATCTCAGCAGCACAGGCTCCCCTGGGTTGAGTTCAGATTGGTGGTTATAGAGGTCAAGAAATCCCGATATCTGCTGTCTGCAAGCTGGGGAGCCAGGAAAGCCGGTGGTATAATTTCATCAAAGTCCAAAGGCCTGAAAATCATGGGGCTGATGGTTAAGTCTCAGTCTGGGTCTTTGTCTCCTTTTCCCCTTCTATGGTGTCAGGCAAGAACACTCCAACTCTGCATCCTAAAACTCTTGGGCACTTCCAAGAGAAAAGCATATTTTACATTTTTGCCAAGGCTGAGGTTCAGAGGTGGGGGAGGTAAGTCAAGCGGCCGATTCTGGCCCAACCCTCCAGCAGCCAAGGTGCTGGAGCCAGCCCGGGGGAAATCGCAGATGCTTGCAAGAGCAGAGGACTGGGCAGCACCGTAGTTGCGTCAACTCACACTTCTTCAGTGTAACTTGGTAAAATAACTCCCCCTTTGACCCCCAGTGCACCCGCCTGTAACATGAGACGATAGACCAAGAATTCTGAACCTGAACTAATAAGATCCCTGAAATGATTTTCAAAATTGGGTGTGTTCCTCTTTGGCAGTTTTCTGGGAGAGGGTGTGCAGTTGTAATTGGAGGCTACAGTGTGACCCAGTTCCAAAAATGATGGAAATCACTTAGAACGAGGCAGGAGCCTAGTCTTAGAAACAGAGACCTTCCTCTTTCACCTCCACCCTCTTTGTGTATCATAGCTAAATCTTAAAAATTTGATTGGGTCATCTTTTGACATTAAACCCTCTTACAGGCTTCCCATCACCATCAGGACAAAGATCTAAACTTCTCAGTATGGCTACCAGGGAGCTCTGGGCCTGGGGTGGCCCTTAAGAGTTGGGCAAAATTGATGGCATGCACAGGCTTCTGTGTCCTGCCTCAACCATTCCATGGATGCTGGCTGCCTAGGGAGGAGCCAAGAACTTGAATGAGGCAATTGTCTTTCACCAAGTGTCAGGTAGACAGAGGATAATGCAGTTGGAGTAGAATGTGTAGGTTTCAGCAGAGGAGGGCTTTGTGAAGGAGTGGGTAAAAAATGCATTTGGTGGCCTCCATATAGGACTTTCTTGTCCCCGCATCCTTCCTGATGCAGTGGGCAGCAAAGGACTTTTTTCCATACCAAGTTTCTCCCCATATGCCTATTGTGGCAGACGGTGGGATTATGTTGATTCGAAACATAAAAGAATATACCTTTTATTACACAGTATAACCTTACCTGGGAAAGAAGACCAGAAGAGGGAAAAAAGGAGGAATGGCTCTTTTCCAGGTAAAATCCAATTTTTCATTGATCATTCTTCTTCCTAATATGTCACACTTTGGCCTTGTTAATCTTCTGTCTTTGAGGTGTCCTGCCTAAATTGTTTACTCACTCCCAAGCCTTCTTCCAGTCTCATCTCATCTCCATGCAGATTCCATCTCACTGTGACCCAGTGAGAACCTGGGAAGATGCTCCTTATAGGTGGTCATGCTGTGAAGGATATTCTATGCAAGCAAGGAGTAGGATGGGGAGTAGGCTCTGTGGTGTCCGAGAGGTTGGGCTGCAACAATTCCTCAGAGACCCCTTCTGGATGCCCTTCAGGTCATATAAACCACGATTAAAGAGATTACTATATAAGTGATGTATTAATGTGCACAAGTACCTGAGAAACCCTGGAAAATAAGTTTGACGGAAATTTGCTTCATCCGATTTCACAAATGCCTTTTGACAATAAAGGTGGGTCATTATGCTTCTGACTCCAAAATATTAATACTTTGGAATAGAATGGGAAGTTCAAAGTAGAAGTAATATAGAGGGTATTTTGTTTTAGTGACATAATTAGTTTTAAAATGTAGACTCAACCTACTTGTTTAACAGTGTCATAGACCGTGAGTCTGGAGTTGTCTCTTGTCCAGCAAGAGGGTGGATGCAGAACGGAATACACGAAAGGGTACTGTCCGGGAGGAGACAAGAGCCTCCAACAGGGGTTTCATTTCAGTATTTATTGAGCTCATAAGGTATTACACACATGGTAAACGTGAAGAAAACAAGATCTTACACTTGTGAATGTGGAAGACACTAATCATTAGCTTGTGTGTATAAGAAGCAAAGGGTCCAGGTGGGGAGGTGGAGTTTGTGATCAAAGTACAGCAGTAGATTGGTGTCAGATGGAAAGTAATTTCCTGTAGGTGATAAAACAAGTTACTACTGATCCCATTACAGTATCTCCCTAGCTAACTTCAGGCGCTTTCACCCCAAGGTGGTGGCTTTTTGCCCTAGGCTTTTTTCTACCAAAGGACTTAACCTTGGGCGGGCACTTTTGGCCCTTTGTTACGGCTTTCTGCCCTATGCTTTTAACCCATTTAGGTAAGTATAAGAAATTCATGAACCTAAAACATGGAAAGAGCCTAAGTGTCCATCAACAGATGAATGGATCAAGAAGATGTGGTTTATCTATACCATGGAATACTACATGGCAATGAGAAAGAATGAAATCTGGCCATGTGTAGCAACATGGATGGACCTTGAGGGTGTTATGCTGAGCGAAATAAGTCAGGCAGAGAAGGACAAATATCATATGTTTGCACGTATAGGAGGATTAGGAGGAACTTGACGGAGGAACAAGGGGGAAAAGAAGGGCGGAAATGGTGGGGGAAAGGGAGAGAGGCAAACCATGAGAGACTCTTGAATGCTGACAAAAACTGAGGACTGATGGATGTGGGGGGGAGGGGGGGATGGGCATGGAGGAGGGCACTTTGGGGATGAGCACTGAGTGTTATGTGGAAACTAATTTGACAATAAACTATTTGTAAAAAAAAAAAAAAAAAAAAAAAAGAAATTCATGAACCTATTATCCGACGTACCAGTAAGTGTTCTTTACATTATTTAAAGCACATCATTAACATAAAGACCATGGTGTTCATTTAGGAACTCTTACACACTGCACATATTTTAGATAAAACTGTTTATAATTTAGCCAGACATATGAGCAGAACTTTGTATCATCAGAGAGGCTGGTGCTCAACTGTCATTTTACAAATTATTGTTAAATTTTATTATTACTGTTTTTCATTAAACCCTCTAGTATATATTTTTGTGGTTCAGTTCCACACAGTGATGTAGTTTAGAAACTAAGAAGTAAAATATCCCCTTTCTGTCATATCTTTCCATATCACTGATTGTCTTTTCAGGAACCTGGTTTCTTTAGTGCAAATCTTCTAAAAGTTCATTTAAATATTGTAATGTGATAGAATATATTCTTCAGTAAATATTTAATCATGTTTTATTCTGCAAATGGAAATATTTACATACCATATGTTAGTAAACAAGAGATCACTGCTTTCTTAGATCCGCATTGGAGGATTCTCATCCTTGCGCAGGGGCCATGCTAATCTCTGTATCGTTCCAATTTTAGTATATGTGCTGCCGAAGCAAGCACTGGAGGATTCTCCAAATGAAGATACTTGGGTCCTTTACAATTTCTTACTGTTTCAGAGATTGCCATGGTGGCTGTTCCTGAGCAGCCCGACTTCACTACAGACATCTATGTATATCTGAAGATTGTATGTCTTTAAAGCATGATTAACAGGTTAATGATTGTCTTTCTGAAGAAGCACACACATTCCACTTAGTAAATAAAGATTTTAAATCAACTGTCTTGAACATCCTCAGCTAAAGGAAAACATGGATAGAACTAAGAAGTAGGAGAACAATGTTTCAACAAATAGAAAATATCGTTAAAGAAATTATAGTAAAGGAATGAATAGAAATTCTGGAGCTAAGAAAGTATAAACACTAAAATTGAAAATTCACTAGAGGGTTCATCAGCAGATGGACAATAAGAGTAAGATTCAGTGAATCTAAACATAGGCTAACTGAAACTATCAAGTGTGAGGACAAGAAAGGGGAAAAGGTGAATAAAAGGGGGAGAAAAGAAAAATGACCAGAGACTAGGAAACCTTTGGGACACTCTGAAGAATACTGGTGTACACATAATAGGAGTCCTAAAAGGAAAGGCAGAAAGAATATTTAAAGAAAGAAAAGCTGAAAACCTCCCAAATTATCAAACACAACATACACATCCAAAAAACTCCGTGAAGTTAAGCTATGACAAATGCATGGAGATCCCTGGCAGTCACGTAATCAGTCAACTTTTATAAGGCAAAAATACAATGTGGAAAGTAGCAAGACAGAAAACTTTCATGTACAGGGCTTCTCAATAAGTTTAATGGCCTGTATCTCATCAGAAACTGTGAAGGCCAGGAAGCATTCTCATGACGTATTTAAAGTTTGAAAGATTAAAAAAAAATCTACCAGGAATTCATGGTCAGACAAACTATGCTTGAAAATTGATATTGATATTAAGAGACTCCTTGATGAACAAAAGCTAAGGAAGTTCACAGTTACAGACATAGCATACATGAAATACCAAGTGGAGTTCTTCAGGCTGAAATGGATGGAAACTAGTGGTACATCAAAGCCATAGGAACAAATAAAGAACACTAGTAAAGGTAACTACAAGAGTAAATACAAAAGCCGGTATTATCATATTTTTGTTTTCTGACTCATTTTTCATGTGTGTCTTAACATATACGTAAAAACAGAAAAATCTGCTCTTGAGTGTAGGAAACATCTGTTCATATCTTTTATGAAGTAGTTTTTGACAACAAGAACATAAAGGAAGACTGTGTAACAGCACTTGCTTGTATGCTATTAAAGCTAAGTTAGTATCAATTGAAATTCAAATATTATTAGCCAAATATATAAACTGCAATCCCCAGGATAACCACTCAGAAAATAACTTGGAAATAAATAGAAAAATAAATAGAGGCAGTCAAAATGGTATGCACACACAAACATAGACATCCAAAGAAGGGAGGAATTATGAAAGAAAATATTAGATATACAAATAGCAGATGTTAGAAGTAATTCTTACTAGTAGTAACTTGGAATGTGCATAAATTAAACTCTTTAGTATAATACATAGGAATTGTTTTAAGTGATTCCACTCTGTTTACAATGGCTCACTTTTTTTTTAAAGTATATTTATTTTGAGAGAGAGTGTGAGTGAGGGAGGGGCAGAGAGAGAGAGAGAGAGAGGGAGAATCTCAACCAGGATTGAGAGAGAGAGAGAGAGAGAGAGAGAGAGAGAGAATCTCAACCAGGCTCCACACTATCACTGTAGAACCCAAGGGTTTGAATTCATTAACTGTGAGATCATGACCTTAGGTGAAGTCCAGAGTCAGACACTGCATCCAACAAAAACTCAAACATTAGGATTGGAAAGGAACTTGCTCAGTCTGGAAAAGGGTATTATTAAAATTCCATGGCTAACAACATACTCAGTGGTGAATAACTGGAAACTTCCCCCTAATACCAACAACAAAACAAATGTTGCCACCACAAATCAACACTCTACTGGAAGTTCTAACCAGAGAAAATACAGAGAAAAAACTAAATAAAATGTGTTGAAATTGGGGAAAAAAATCAAATTTTTCATAGCAGAGATGATCTTATATTTAGGAATAAAGAATCCTCAAACTTAGAGATAATGTATTGATAGAAGTTACAAAATACAATATCAACACTCAAAATTCAGTTGCATTTCTGTGCAGTTGCAACCAATCCAAAGTAAGTAAACAATTTGATTTACAAGAGCAAGAAAATAAATGGGAATAAATTTAACCAAGGGAATGGAAGCTTTATACACTGTGAAAACCAAAAAGTTACTGAGGAAAATTAAAGAAAACCTAACTATAAATGTCAAGATATCTGGTGTGTGTGGATTGGAAGACCATAAAATGGGAGTCTTCTCCAGAGTGATATAAAGAGTAATACAGTCCTCAGCAAAATCCCAACAACGTTGCTTGCACAAATGGGAATCCTGATCCTAAAACTCATATTGAATTGGTAAGGACGCCAAGTAACCAAAATAAATGTGAGAAATAACAAAATTGAAACACTACAATTCCCGATGTAAATCTCACTACAGTAACTTTGAGTAAATCAAAACTATAATTTCATCAGAGGCTAGAAATATAGATCAAAGCAATAGAACAGAGCACCCACAAGTAAACCCATATATCTATAATCCATTCCTTTTTTACAAGTGTGCCAAAAACAGACAGTAGCACAACTAGATATCCGTGTGAGAATGAAATTGAAACTGCCTTCTCCCATATAAGGAAATCAATTCAGAATTGAAGACTGAATGTAAGAGCTAAAACTATAAAAGTTTTAAGTGAAAACATAGGGATAAATCTTTATGACTTTAGAGTTAGCAATGGATTTTCATACATAATCCCAAAAGCAAAAGAGAAAAAAAGATAAATTGGTCATCATCAGAATTAATCATGTCTGTGTACTGAAGGACTTTATCACATAAGTGAAACAATCTACCAAATGGAAGGAAATAATTTGCCAATCACATATTTCCTAAGGGTCTAGAACCTAGAATAAACGAAGAACTGGTACAGCTCAGCAACCAAAATATAAAGAACCCAACTTAAAAAATGGTCAAAGGATTTTAATAGATATTTCTTCATAGAAGATACACAAATTAAACCAGCACATGAAGAAATGTTCGATGAAAGTAGTCATTAGTAAAATGTAAAATCTAAAACTCAGTGAGATATCATTTCACACTCACTATTGTAAAAACAAAAACAACAAAGTGTTGTAAAGATGTGGAGAAATTAGAATCATGACACATTGTTGTTAAAATGTTGTAGGTATTGTGGAAGAGTGTGGCAGACTCTAAAAAAATTAACCATGTGACCCAGTAATTCCACTCCTAAGAATATAACCAAAAGAATTGAAAACAGGGATCCAAAGACTTAATTTGTACTAGAAAGTTTAAAGCAACTTATTAACATCAGCCAAAAGTGATTAACAACCAAATGCCCTTCAGTAGGTAAGTGAATATGGTCTAGTCCTGCAGTGGAATACTCTGCAGCCAGAAGAAAGGAAATGTACCCCTGATACATACTATATCATGGATGAATCCCAAATATTATTCTCTGTGAAAGAAGGCAGATGCCAAAGGTCTCATTTTGTTACCATTCCATTTATATGAAAAGATCCAAAATTGGCAGATCCATAGAGACAAAGCATTAGTGGTTGCCAGGGACAAGACAAGAGAAGTACCTGCTTCATGAGTAAAGGATTTCTTTTGTGGATGATAAAAATGTTTTTTATCTAGAGACGTGATGTGTGTGCAACATTGTGAGTCCACTAAATATCACTGAGTGGTACTTTAAACTGGTTAATTTTATGTTAACTGTAGCTCTTCAAAATTATCTTTCATGGATCAAAGAACACTCCAGCCAAGTCTAATTTTGCTTCTCTAATTTTGTGTCAAAATAAGAACAATTTCCGTGTTCACTTGAACTGTGTTTTCATTGCAGGGATGGCTGACATTCAAGGATGTGGCCATAGAATTCTCTCAGGGGGAGTGGGAGTGCCTGGACCCCCCTCAGAGGGCCTTGTACAGGGACGTGATGCTGGAGACCTACAGGAACCTGGTCTCCCTGGGTGAGGACAACTTTCCTACAGAAGTTGGTAGTTAATTTTAATGTGTCTTGCATTTTCTTTTGAAAGCCCCTGACTTGATCATAGGAATTTCAAATCCCTATTCTTAAGGGAGTGATTGCAGCCATTTTAATTGAGAATGGAAAGACTTCATAGTGTGACAGATGGACGCTAACTTCCTTTTCTTCAGAAGTTCTGCATTCCTGCTTGTTTAGGTGGTTGCAGAACTTAGCAGTCAGAAAAGCTTAAGGGAGGGAACTGGTGATGGGGAGCACTGGGTGTGATATGTAAGTGATGAATCACTAAGTTCTACTCCTGAAACCAATATTACACTCTGTGTTAACTAACTAGAATTTAAATAAAAATCTGGGAATGTAGGAAATAGGATTTAAAACCCCTTAAATTCTTAGTGAAGTCAAATTTCTAACATCTTTAAAGATAAGGCTCAGAGACAATTAAGTTACTTAAAGTTGCCTGGGAACAAAGGAAAATAGTTATTGGAAAAGAATCAGATCACTGCATATTTAAAATACTCATTAAGCATTCAGGCAATCAGTTGACTAATTTTTGAAATATGTTCTAACCCACATAAAATGAATGTCCTTTCTTTGCTGAACAAAGAGCTGCAGATGTGTTCTGGAAGATCAGAGCAGACCATGTTCTGTTTTTCTTTATAAATGGAAATCTCTTCTTTAGCTGAATATCATCTCCATCATCTCTTTCCAGGGGAAAAGCCCTGAACTGTGGATAGTGAAGTAAATGTAGGGGGACATCCAGACAGGTGGGAATTATTGGGATGTGAGCACAAGTCACAGCTCAGATGGGCACAGACTAAGAGGCTCCAGTAAATATTGTCTGGAAAGGATCTGTGGGAAAATACAGGTTTATATCTTAGGAGCCTTCCAAGGAAATCCTCCCCCACCCGACAACACACTTCTCATTCTGGTATTCAGAAGAGTAAATCACATGTGTAAAAGCTTAAACTCCCACTGTTAGGACCTACAGCACGGGTACCTGGCCCCTCTGACCATACTGGTGCCCTGTAGTGCAGACTCCAGGAGCTATTCACTTTCCATTTCCATTTTGTATCCTTGGGAGAACGTCTGAGAAGACAAACAAAATGTAGTAACTGTCTAATAAAGTAGAGCTTAAGCCTTTCTCTTTCTTTCCTGGACCATCCTGGCTTCTTGAGGTCCGGCGCTTGTGCATTAATAAGAGGAAGTCATGATGTGGTAATTCCAAAAAGTGAAAATTCAAAATTAGGTGTATTCTAAGTACAGCACAGCTTACTCCTATCTCTGGTTACCTTTTCTGTGGGAAGAACATGTATCATTCCATAGATGTGTATGGCGTTCCTGGTATACAGAAAGTACCATATTGCTATTTTTTCAGTTTGATGTTTTGGTTTTGGTTTTTTTGGTTTTAAGAACTCAGGAGGCAGCAGCAACTTTTGTTTTTAAGTAATCTCTGCAGCCAGCGTGGAGTTTGAGCTCACAACCTCGAGATCAAGGTTGCATGCTCTACCAACTGAGCCAGCCAGGCATCCCTGATTTTTTTTTTTGTTTTTGTTTTTGTTTTTAATTTTTTATCACCTTCACCCATTTCTGCCACCGTCCTCTCAACTAAAAACCACCAATATGTTCTCTGTATGTAAGAGGGGTTGTTTTGTTTTTTTTAAGATTCCACATATAAGAGAAATCAGACTGTATTGGTCATGACCAATGCCTCTTAGCATAATGTCCTTGGGTCCATCCATGTTGTCACAAATGGCAAGATTTTGTTCTTCTTTATGGCTGGATAATATTGTGTTGTATATACACAACTTTATCCTTTCACCCATCAATGGACACTTAGATTGTGTCCGTATCTCAGCTATTATAAATAGTGCTGCAGTGAACATCAGAATGCTTCTATCTTCTTAAGTTAGTATTTTTGTTTTCTTCAGATAAATACTCAGAAGTATAGTTGGTGGATCACACAGTAGTTCTCTTGGCTTCACCAATTTGACTTGACTCCACCAACAGAGGACAAATTGTCCACCACATCACCAACACTTGTTATTTCAAATGTCTTTTTGATAATTGCCATTCTAATAGTTGTCAAGTGATATTGTGGTTTTGGTTGGCATTTCCCTGATGATGGATGATGTTGAGCCTCTTTCATGGTCCTCTTGACCATCTCTAGGTCTTCGAAAATATCTATTCAGATCTTCTGCCCATTTCCTAAGTTGGGTATTTTGAGCACTTTTGGCCTGTGTTTTGGATTATTAGCCCCTTGTCACATGCATGATTTGCTAATATTTCTCCCATGTAGAAAGTTGCCTTTACATTTTGTTGAAAAAAATGTTTCTTTTGCTATGCACTTTGTAGTTTGATGTAGTCCCACTTACTTTTGCTTTTGTTGGTTTTTCTTTTGGTGTCAACAGTCAAAACAAAAACAGGAAAACAAAAAACACATCATTATCTAGACCGGTGTCAAAGAGCTCATTACCTCCTATCTTCTAGGATACTTATGGTTTAAGGTCTTGGGTTTAAGTATTTAATCCATTATGAGTTAATACTTTTGTGTATGGTATCAGACAGTGGTCCAGTTTCAATCTTTTGTCTGTGGCTTTCAACTTTTCCCAAACCATCTATTAAAGAGATTGTTCTTTCCTCATTGTATAGTCATGTCTCCTTTGTTGTAAGTTAATTGACCATGTGTGTGGGTTTATTTCTGGGCTTTCTTCTGTTCTGGTGATCTATGTGTTTATCTTTATGCTAATTCCGTACTGGTTTAATTACCACAGCTTGGTAATCAGGAAATGTGATGCTTCCAGGTTTGTTCTTTTTCCTCAAGATGCTTTGGCCTTTCACGGTCTTTTGTGGTTCCATACACATTTTAGGATTTCTCTATTTTGTGTGTAGGTTTTTAGGGGGACATAAATTTTCGGCTTATTTGTGTAAATACCAAGGAGTGTGATTGATAGATCATATTTAAGAGTATGTTTAGTTTTGTAAGAAAGGGCAAACTGTCTTCCAGAGTGGTGTACCATTTTGCATACTGATCAGCAATAAATGAGAGTTCTTACTGCTTTACATTCTTACTAGTATTTGTGTTAGCATTCTGGATTTTGGCTATTCTCATAAATGTATAGTGATATCTCATTGTTATAACACATTTATCTCAATTAAATTTGTTTTTTAATTTTTATTTATTTTAGAGAGACAGAGCATGAGTGGCATGAGCGGGAGAGACACAGTATCTGAACCAGGTTACAGGCTCCAAGCTGTTAACACAGAGCCCATTGTGGGGTTTGAACCTATAAACGGTGAGATCCTGACCATAGTCAAAGTTACACACTTAACCAACTGAGCCACCCAGGCACCCCTGTGGCAGTCTTTAATCTGAGTATTTGCGATATCTTGAGAACACTGCTTTAGTCACAGAAATATCATTAACTTGATTGGCTGTAGCTTTTTTATGTAACGATACATTATTTTGGTGAGCTTGGGTGGCTCAGACAGTTAAGCGTCTTTCTCTGGATTTTGGCTGAGGTCATGATCTCACAGTTCCTGAGTTCGAGCCCTGCATTGTGCAGTGCACTTACAATGTGAAGACTGCTTGGGATTCTCCCTCTCCCCCTGCCCATCCTCAGTTCTCAAGCTCACTCTCGCTCTCTAAGTAAATAAAGTTCAAAAGAAAACATTCTTGTATGTGTCTCCTGGAACACATATATATTATATAATTCTTTTGAATGTATACCTAGAAGTGGAATTCATGGTATATTTAGTTTGATAATTTTTAGAGCAAGTACTGAAATAGATGTAAGCCTACAGTCTTCCTGTAACACCCTACTGTCTCCCTGTTGAATGTTTTCCACTTTTATTTCATATCTATAGTATAAGTTCTTACAGGATGAGTCAATATTATGTCTGTTGCTACATCAGTTGCTGTTTCTAAGGTTAGGCTTTGAACTTAATAACACAATCGTATTCCTGTAGATGTGGAAGTACTAATACTATCCCCACATTTACAAAAAGAAACTTAAAAACATTGTATTTAACAATAGTGTTTGAAGAACATGCTTGAGAAACTTCCTGAGTTCAGTATAAAGTATTATTTTGGTGTGTAATTATGTAATTTACTATGAAGTATTTACTTTCCAACTCTGTTTGATAGGAAGTACTTCTGCTGGATTTGCAATCAAGGAATTATCACCAATAGAGGACATTAATAAAGGAGAATTTTACCACTTAGTGATATTGGAGAGAAATGAAAGCCATGGTATCAAGGACTTTGATCTCAGGAAAATCTGGGAAGATAGGCAGGAGTTTGAAAATCAGTGGGGATATGATGCAAGAAATTACAAACAGGTACCTTTGACCCATAACAAAAATGTCACTTGTAGAATGGACCAGCAACTTAATCAGTCCTCAGTTACTCTTCCTGAAAAGCAGAGTGTTTCTGTGAGAGAAAATACATACCAGTATTTGATGCGTGATGAGCCATTTGTAAGGACTTTGTTAAAACTGGACAATAACATAAGTGATGCTGGAAACTGCTTGGAAAATACAATTGGATTAAGTTTGCAGAAACACCTGGCTGAACAGCAGAGACTTCACAGTGAGAACATGTATGAATGTAATCCAATTGAGAAGTCTGTCAGCAATGGTTCCTCGGTTTCACCACTTCAAGGAATTTCTCCCAGTACCAAAAACATTTGGAATAAATCTAGGAAGATTTTAAAATATCATTCGTTATGTGCACAAGCCAGGAGAGCATACACTAGAGGAAAATCTTACAAATGTGATGACTGTGGGAAGGCTTTTAGCAAAAGCTCAAACCTCATGAGACATGAGAGAATTCATTCCGGACAGAGACCTTATAAGTGTAATGACTGTGGCAAAACTTTTTCAGAGCGCTCACGTCTTACTCGACATATGAAAATCCATACTGGAGAGAAACCTTACAAATGTAATGAATGTGTCAAAGCCTTTAACCGGGTGTCAAGCCTCACCAGACATCAGAGAGTCCATACAGGAGAGAAACCATATAAATGTAATATATGTGGCAAGGTCTGTAGTCAAAATTCAAATCTTGCAAATCATCAGAGAATGCATACTGGAGAGAAACCTTACAAATGTAATGAGTGTGGAAAGGCATTTATCCATCGTTCACAGCTTTGGAGTCATGAGAGAGTTCATACTGGAGAGAAACCTTACAAATGTAGTGAATGCAGCAAAGCCTTTTCTGAGCGTTCAAACCTTACTCAACATAAGAAAATCCATACTGGAGAGAAACCTTACAAATGTATTGAGTGTGGCAAAGCTTTTAAGCAGTGCTCACACCTTATTAGACATCAGAATACACATCGTGGAGAGAAGCCACACAAATGTAATGAGTGTGGCAAAGCATTTACCCAATTTGCAAAGCTTAGTAGGCATCGGAAAACACACACTGGGGAGAAACCACACAAATGTAATGTGTGTGGCAAGGCTTTTACCCGAAATTCAAACCTTGTGGAACATCAGAGAATTCATACAGGAGAAAAACGTTATAAATGTAATAAATATGATAAGGTTTTCACCAAACGTTCAGGCCTTTAGGTTCATGAGAGAACTCATACTGGAGAGAAACCTTACAAATATACTGAGTGTGGCAAAACCTTTAGGGAGCACTCACATCTTACTCAGCATGAGAAAATCCATACTGGAGAGACACCTTACAAGTGTAATGAGGTGGCATTACTTTTACTCAATTTCCAAAACTTATTAGGCATCAGAAAATGCATAGTGAAAAGGAAGAATATTAACCTCATATTTGGGGCAGTGCTTTTATTCATAGCTCAAACTTTGGGGATCATCAAAGAATTCATAGTATAAAGAAACCTTGCAAATAAAATGAGCCATTGTTCAAGACTTACTCAACATCAGAGATTCCATCATGGAATTGTGGGAAAACTTGTAACCAGGGTCCACACCTCACCTGATATCAGAAACAAGTCTCAGAAAAAAGCACACAAAAGGGATATGGCAAGGCTTATCCAAAGCTTATGATACCTTGTGGAACTTAGTTTTTACTAGAGGGAAACCTTATAAATGTAATCAGTGTGATCAGGTGTATAGAAAAAAATGTACAAATTGGAGAGGGGTGAATGGGATGAAGAGGTACAGACTTTCAGTGATTAAAAAAAACACATTTTTTTTTCCAACTTTGTGCTTTGTGGTCTTGAAAGAATTCACATAACATGGATACTATACAAATATGTCAATATCTTTACCTCAGGAAACACCAAAGGATTCATACTGGATAGAAACACTACACGTGTAAGGAAGGTATTCATTTCTTTAGCCAATGCTGTCAATATGAAAATTCATTTTAGGGGGAACTAGTCTGTTTGGAGGGTTAACCAGTCTCAGGTGTTAAATTCCACAGAAAATTAAAATTATATAAAATTCATGAGATGAAGTGTGTCAACAGAACAAGTCTATCTGTGGAAAGACCTAATCATCCTCTAAATCCTTTGTAAAAAAATTTATTTTCTTCTCTATATCCAACATAAGGCTCAAATTCACAACCCCAGTATCAAGAGGCACATGCTCTTCTGGATGAATCAACCGGGTACCCCTATAACTTTTACTCAGTTATTTCAGGTTTCTTTTTCTTTTTTTTAAATTAACTTTTTATATTTTATTTTTTGTTAATTGTTTTTATTTACATCCAAATTAGCATATGGTGCAACAATGATTTTAGGAATAGATTCCTTAATGGCCCTTACCAATTTAGCCCATCCCCCCCCCACAATCCCTCCAGCAACCCTCTGTTTTTTCTGTATATTTAAGAGTCGATTAGTTCAGATTTCTTGAAGCTGCATTATTATCGATGACTTACAGCCTCAAGTTTGGAATTCACCAGTGTTATACTTTCATAACATGTGTTTTATTTATCAACCACGGTTTTCACAGAGAAAGCATCGGTCACGTGAAGGAAACGTGGGGCTTAGTCATACTTACGTATCATACTTACGTATCCAAAATGAGGATGCTAATTTTAATATACAGTTAGTGTAAATTTGAGACCATGAGGAGTGACAGGGAATAGATGTAAAAGTGTTATCTAAATTGCCATGTTTTCTATGGTCACAGCCCCTCCTCTAGATTTGTTAGTACAACTGAGAGTCTTTGTTGATTAGTACAGGAAACGATTCCTCTATCAGTGATCATGAAACAGTGTAGTTGGGGACATTGGGAGAATGAGATTTTCATGTGAGAATGATGGGTTACTAGGGATGGTATATGTGGTAGAGAAAATTGAGGAGGAGTGATGGTCTTTCCCTCTCTTGAAAGGTAATCGCTGTTGTATATCATCAATGAGTAAAAAATTGAGACAGAAACAGCATGAGTGGGGAAGGGGCAGAGAGAGAGGGGGAGACACAGAATCTGAACCAGGCTCCAGGCTTTGAGCGTCAGCACAGAGCCCAATGCGAGGCTCGAACTCACAAACCGTGAGATCATGACCTGAGCCAAAGTCGGATGCTCAACCAACTGAGCCACCCAGGTGCCCCTAAAGTTTCTGTTTACAATTAAAATATGCCATTCTACTCACTCCGCATTAGTCAAGCTGGCTATAAATTGGAAAAGGTAATCCCCACAGTGAAATGGAAGGGTTGCTTAAGTCAAGTGGCCAAGCTTGATATCAAAGAGCAGAGAGAGATAATCTCACAAGATTATAATCCCACTCTTAACACACTATGGTGGGGGGGGAAATCCCATAAACCCACCCATTCGGAAAAGAAAAGAGGGACCCTGCAGTCCCTGGTCCACAGCAAAGAGGGAGGGGCAGGAATGAGGAATGATCCTTTCCTTGGCTTCTGCTTTTCTCCTGCAAATAGCTTTCCAGTCCTTCGTGTTTCATTGTTCTAGACTTCATGTAGTTACATATGCTAAAGTGTCAAAAACCCTGCCTTCCTCATACAACCAGGTATTTTCCTTCCCATGATAGCCGACTTCCTTCCCATGATACTGTAGAGTCCCAAAGATTATTGCACAGTTTCCTTATGGTACAAACTTGGTGCATCATGCTCAGTACAATATTTTTAACTAGCACTTTATGTAATATCAAACAGCTACGAATTCTATTAGCTACACCCACCGCATTTAGCCAGACATGCCATGCTCTGTGTATGTATTTCAGGGTCATTGAACCTCTCAGCCCCTCTAACAGAGCCACACCTGTGCTTTCTGTTCACTAAACCATGCTGTCCAAGAGGAGCAATCCCACAGGACCTACTTTAATCAGCTGCAGGTTACTTCAAAGGGCATTGATTAGGGCCATGTCTTCTGTGCAGACTTTGCCATGATTTTGAGTTTTAACTTCCCCTTGACCCTCAAAGTATTTTTTTAAATGTTTGTTTATTTTTGAGAGAGAGAGAAAGATGCTAGTGGGGAAGGGTCATAGAGAGGACGACACAGAATCCGAAGCAGACGCTAGGCTCTGACCTGTCAGCACCGAACCTGATGCAGGGCTCAAACTCACAAGTGAGATCATGACCTGAGCCAAAGTCAGATGCTCAACTGACTGAACCACACAGGCACCCCTCAAAGTATTTATTAATGGTAAATTTTACCAGCTGGAGATGAGGCACAGTTACATCCTTAAATCCTACTTCCGAATCAGCTCATTCACTTCTGACATTGGGTCTTTCTTGAAATACTATATTAAATGCAGCTGAGAAGAAAGTGGCATGGTAGTAACTATTGCTTTCCTAATTTCTATATTACTGAATTCATGTATAGTGGTGATAACCATACCCCACCTCGGGAGCATTTGCAAAGTTCTGGGGACATGTCATCATTGCAGTGGTTCTACTGGTATCTATCTAGTGGATATGGGCCAGTGATGCTGCAAACTATCCCACAATGCCCAGTACAGCTTCACACATCAGAATTATCTGAGCCACAATGTCTACAGAATAGTACAACTTATACCATGTAAACCTCAGTCAAAAGAAAGCAGGAATGTCTATATTAATACCAAATAGAACAGATTTCAGAGAAAATAAAATTACTGAGATAAATGGGGAAATTACATGATCGAAGAGTCAAACAAGGTGACTTAGCAATCCTGAGTGTATATGCATGAAAGAATAGCTGCAAAATATGCTGATCATCAAGTGATAGAACTGAAAGGAGAAACAGACAAATTCACAAATACAGCTTGAGACTTCTCTCAATAATAGAACAAAGATAGTCAGCAGGACACTGATGAACTCTACACCACCACCAAGTCACATGATCTCATCAACATTTTTGAACACCACCCAAACACAGGAGATTACACATTTCTTTTTCAAGAACAATGCCAAGACAGATCATATCCTGGATCCTAAGACACCCGTCAACAATTTTAAAAGAACAGAATCAGTGTGTTCACTGCCCAAATGGAATTCAAATACAAAACAAAAACAGAAAATTAACAAATACTTGGAAAATCTCCAGATACTTGTAAACTAAACAAAATACTTTCAAATGCTCTGCCAGTGAAAGAGGAAGGGAAATACACAGGCTGAAAGAAAATGAAAATACAACATTTCGTTATCTGGGAGGTTCAACTAAAGCAGTACTGAGAGGGAAAAAGGATAGGACTCCATGTTTATACTAGAAAAGAGAGAAAATATCCAAGAATAAACAGCAATAAGAAATCAGAAGGGGGGAAAAAACACAAATGAAGCACAAAGAAGGAAATAATAAAGGTAAGAGCAAAATAAGTAAAAGTGAACACAGGAAAAATAGTAGGGAAAATAAAACAAAGAGCTGGTTCACTGAAAACAATAAAGTTCATAATTCTCTAGCAAAACTACGAAAGAATATAAGAAAAAACACAAATTGCTCATAAGAAATTAAACAGGGAATATTACTCCAGGACCTGTATACATCAAGAGGATATTAAGGGACTAATACAAGACTCTACACACATATACTTGAAAACTTAGGTGAAATGGACCAATTCCTCTAAAGGTACACCTTACCACAAATCACCCAAGTGAAAGAAATGATAGGAATCCTTTGAATTGCAGAGTAAATTTGTAATCTTAAAATTCCCTCTGAAGCAGAAACCTGCAGGCACATAGAGTGAGTGTTGAGAATTTAGCTAAAACTCGTGCTTCAACATCCGTTCTGTGTGGCCAGGAGGCCTGTGGGGACCTTGAACTGCTACTAGCCCTTCCCTTGAGCACAGACCCTAGATAAGAGCTCACAGAGACAGAAGCATATGTCAGTTCGTGATTGGACTCTCCCAGTCATCCCTATTATAAGCATCTTCCCCATCTCCCAGAGGGGTCACCCTGGGAGACTCCCTACCCACCTCCAAAAGCCTTCCAAAACCCTGCTCTGTTTGGTTTGAATTGGCCAATGCAGCCTTAACCCAGAACCCCAAAGCATTCCATTGAGGGACCCTAATGAAGACTTGTGCCCTGGATCCTGCCCTAAGAGCTCTGCCTGCCTCATGAATGAGGAACCCTGAAAGATATTGAGCTCTTTGTATATTTCTGTTGAATTTCTCTGTCTGGCCTTGGAGACGAGTGTGCATGCAAAACAAAGAACAAAACAGGAATTCCAGCGTCCTCAAATTTCAGTTCTAAGAATGGCTTCAACCATCCAAATTCTCACTTCTGCCTTATTTTCTATCAGTCTTGCCAAAAGGCCTGGGGACTGGGGTTGCTGAGGCTTCCTTAGTTCCACATTCTCCTCCCTGGAGGCCAAGGGCTGGGATACAAGGCCCCAGCCCCATCCTTCACGGGACAAGTCCTGG